TGAATCTGGGCATTTACCTGTCACTTTTTTTAACTCTTTTTGGAATTTTTTGTTTTAGTGATGAAAGTGGAAAGTATGTTATATGTAGTTATATTAATCATAGTATATGTTTTTTTCTCTTTCTTAAATTTTGTCATTTATTTTAAATTACAATTGACATACGCTATTATATTAGTTTCAGGTGTACACTCCAGTGATTAGACATTGTATAACTTACTAAGTGATCATTCTGATAAATCTCACACCCATCTCACACTATACATAGTTATTAGAATATTATTGACTGTACTGTACTTTACATCTCCATGACTGTTCTGTAACAGCCATGACTGTTCTTAATCTCTTCACCTTTTTCACCCATCCTGGATCTCCCTCCCACTGTGGCAATGTGGAGGATACCAGCCAGCAGTATCAATCCCTGCTGCGGATGCTCGTTGAAACACGAGAAAAACATACACAGGAACAACCGAGTCCTGTGGGGAAATAGGGACAAAACAGCTACTCTCTCTAGTGGAGAGTGGCCTGTCTTTTCGCCCAAGCAGGTTTTTATTAAGAATACAGACACAGTTTGTGGATTACAGTCTGGCAGGGAAGATCAAAAGGGATAGGTAATTTTCAAAGGGTCTGACAGAACTCCTGCTGGGATTCTAGGCAGAGTTTGGGGTTTTATCACTACGGGACCTAAAAGGCTAGTCTCATTTCCTGCCCATGCCTTCATATTTTAATTCAACAGCATCCTCCAGCAAGCAGATCTCATAGGATCTTGCATATTGTATGTCCCAGGCCTGATTTACCCCAGGGGTCTGCCGACCCTGGTCTGGACTGCACCACCCCTGCTATTTCCGCAGACCTGAGTCGGGCAGAGGAGACAAAGGTAGCCAGGAGACTTGGAATTCTCACAACTAAGGACAAGGACTCAGGCTTTGACAAAGCGGAGGGGACAGGGGTTGATGTTGATCACCCCTTCATTTCCACAGCCTCAAGTCTCTTCCCTGAGGCCTCCTGGTGATCATGCCTGTCTTAGGCGATTCCCTCCGTGGGAAATCTTACCCATCATTGGCTAACTGATCAAGCATAAGAGGCCAGGCACAGAATAGGCAGCGTTCTTGCCAGAGAAGTAAGTTTTGTCTCCTTAGTGGCTCCTGGTCTGGAGGTCTCTCACTCAGCCTTAGCCACGGGGGGTTACAGCTTCCTGAGGCCAGGCAGGGCGGGCCCCAACATGGCAACCATCAAAACGTTCTTTGTATCTATGAGTTTGTTTCTGTTCTGCTTATTTGTTTGTTTTGTTTTTTAGATTGTATTGTTGATAGATAGGTATTTATTGCCATTTTATTGTTCATATTTTTTTACCTTTTTTTTTCTCCTTCTAACATAAAACCCTTTAACATTTTATATAATACTGGTTTGGTGGTGATGAAGTCTTTTAGCATATTCTTGTCTGGGAAGCTCTTTACATGTTCTTTGATTCTAAATGAGAGCTTTGCTGGGCAGAGTAACTTTGGTTGTAGGTCCTTGCTTTTCATCACTTTGAATATTTCTTGCTACTTCTTGCCCGCAAAGTTTCTGTTGAGAAATCAGCTGACAGTCTTATGAGAGCTCCCTTGTAGATAACTAACTGCTTTTCTCTTGCTGCATTTAAGATTCTCTCTATGTCTTTAACCTTTGGCATTTTAATGATGATGTATGTGTCTTGGTGTAGGCCTGTTTGGGTTCATCTTGTTTGGGACTTTCTGTGCTTCCTGGTCTTGTGTGTAATTTTCCTTCATCGAGTTAACCAAGTTTTCTGTCATTATTTTTTAAATATGTTTTCAAGTTCTTGCTCCCTCTCTTCAGTAGAGAGATACCACCATGTACTGGATACATCCAGTACCCCCATGATACAAAGGTCTATATGCTTTAAGTTGCTCTAGAGGCTCCTTTACTATCCTCCTTCTTTTTTTTTTTTTTTGGATTCTTTTTCTTTTTGCTTTTCTGATTGGGCGTTTCGGCTTCCTTGTATTCTAAATCGCTGATTTGATTCTCAGCTCCATCTACTCTACTGTTGACTCTCTGTAAATTATTCTCTATTTCAGTCTGTGTATCATTCATTTCTGACTGGTCATTTTTTTATACTGTTGAGGTCCTCACTAAGTTCATTGAGTATCCTTATAACCAGTGTTTTGAATTCTGCATCTAGTAGATTGTCTCTATTTTGTTTAGTTCTTTTTCTGGAGTTTTTTTTCTGTTCTTTCATTTGGAACATGTTTCTTTGTCTCCTTATTTCAGCAGCCCTACCCCACACTCCGCACTTGTTTCTATGTATTAGGTAGAGCTGCTTTATGTCTGAGGCTTGGCAGAGTGGCCTAATGTAGTAGGTGTCCTGTAGAGTCCAGTGTCACAGCTTCCCTGATCACCCAAGCTGGGCACTAGAGGTGCATCCCTCCTTGTGGGCTGTGTACACCCTCTTCTTGTATTTGAGCCTTGATTGCTGTTGGCAGGTCAGTAGGAGTGATTTACCTCTAGGCTGATCAGCTGGCTGTAAGACTGGCTGTGACACCATGGAGCTTCTACCACTGTGGAGGGTCAGCTGTGCTTGCCAGAAGGCAGGACTTACTTCAGCAGGGCTTTGCTGGCCACTGAGTCTGCTCTTTGAGTATGTCACTTGTGGACATGGTTGGGTGGTGGTGCTTCAGCATGGTCTGAAGCTGTCCACTGGGTGTACTGGCTCTGGGACCTCCTGGAGGTATAGGCCAAGGTCAGCCACTGCTTGTGTTCCGCCTGGGACCACTTGGCATGAGCTATAGAATGATCTGCAGATGGCTGCCACTCGTGCTTGGCTTGGAGGTGCCCAGGAGAGACTAAGCTGTGAACCAAGGCTGGCTGCTGCTTGTGCCTGGTTTGGGGCCACTTAGCAAGAGGTACAGTGCTCACTGAAGACAGGTGATGCTTATTTGAGAGATTTTAGGAAAATCTGAAGCATGAGCCCAAATAGGTTTTTCAAATGGAAAAGCCACGAGAAATAGCTTAGGTAGGCCCACAAGTTGGGTGGGGCAGGACTTCATGTAATGACCAGGGTAGGTCTTAGATGTGTTGCCTGCCTATCAGCTCTGAAAAGGAACAATGGCTTCTGCCAGCCCTTCTATCTGGTTAAAAGCTAACCCCCAGCTCTTACCTTGATGCCAGACAATTCATTTCTTCCCTATATATCTCTGATGTCTTTCAAGCTGCTTTCCCCACACTGGAGCTCAGAGGCAGTGAGTCCAAGTTAGTCCATGCAGGAGCCCTTTAAGAGAAACTGCCTGGGACTCCAGAAGCCCTCCATCTCCCTTAGCCTCAATCCCTGCTGGATTTTGTAGCCAGAAGTTATGGGGACTTCTCTACCTGGTACTGGAACCTTGGGCTGAGGGCCCTGGTGTGGGGCTGAGACCCCTCAGTCTTCATGGGGGTCCTCCACTAGCTATCCCTCCCAATTGTTAGCCACCACATATGGGTTTGGGAACAGCCCATTCCATGTCTCCTCCCCTCCTACCAGGCTTGATGTGGCTTCTCTAATTCCCTATTGTAGGACTTCTGTGCAGCTTGATTTCAGGTGGTTCAGGTCATGATTGTTGTGTAGTTTAGTTGTATTTTTGATGTGGTTATGGGAGGAGATGAGTAAGTACCATGTTTACCTATATTGCCATCTTGACTGAAAGTCCCAATCACAGTATATGTTTTGAGGTATTCAATGCTCTTAAACATACCAGTATGCTATTATATAAAAGCTATTTGATACAACCACTGTTATTTTGTTATTTTATTTTTTGAATTGATGTGCTTAGTTATAAAATTAATAAAATTACATTACAAAGTTTGGAAGATAAGAAGAAAATTATGTAATTAAATCCCATTAGCCTGAGACAGCCACTTATACCATTTTATTATATTTCTTTCCAGTCTTTTCATATACTTCTGATTTCCATAGCTGCAACTCTGATGTATAATAATATTGTATTACGCATTTTAATTTAGTATTTTGTAATAATCAGTAACTAATGTATTATTGTCTGATGGTAGGGCAAAGATGTAATGGCCATATAATGAGAAGGCATCTTTGTACTGAAAGATGAAACAGGCAATCCCATAGAATGTAACAGAACTTATTATTGGGTCACTTACTTATGGGAAAATTGGGCTGGAGTGGACAGATAGCTCAGTAGTTTTGCACAAATTATTCTCCATTACCAGACCCTTGTTAGAGTACCTTTTTAAGAGTATAACTTGGGTACTAATGATTGACAAACTAAAGGGACAAAGAATGCAGTATGGCCCTCCAAAGACCATACCTCCTGGTGGTCTTATGATAGATGATTGCTTATAATCAATACTATTATATTTGATATATATATATATGTTTTTGTGCCATTATGCTATTTCTATAAAAATATTTATGGCTGCATTTTAAGGAACACAGATAATCATCAGTTAGAAAAGTTGGATATGCTTACTAAACATAGTGAAGTTTGTCAAAAATTACAGCATGAAAACTTAAAAATGAAATCTGGGACACAGAAATGGAGTTGGTTTTGTTTACATCTACATCTTTAAAATTGTCTAAGAAATGCTTGTTGCATGGATAAGTTTATATAATAATTTTTCCACTTTTCTTGTACCATAAATTTTACCATCTATATAATAGTTCATGAAATAGATGAAGCATAATTTATTTAACCATTTCCCTATAATCGGACATTTTATAGTTTTAAAAATGTTTTTTTAAATTAATAGTGCTGCAGTTAACATTTTCAGGAATAGAACCCTGCTCCCATATTTATTTATATAGGTACCTGTGTGGGCTGGGATCATAGAAGTAGATATATTGAGTATAGGGACATGAAAATTTACCTGGTTCTTGTTACATATTGCTTTTTCATAAGCATTATATCAATTTATAGTGTTATTAATGACAAATGAGAGACTTCATCTTTAAGAGTTTTGTTGACTTGTATCTGTAACTTTTGTTTTTTGCTTTTTTTTTTCAGATTCTTGTCTTTTACTTTTTACGATGTCTTCTGGCTTTTGTGAGCTGTATCTGTGAACTTTACTTTTACAAGTGAGTGTTAAAGCTTTGCTTCTAAAAGTGCTATGGGGAAACCAAATGTAGCATAGATTATTTTTCTGATGGTATGTAAAAATAGAAAACGCTCTCCTTCTGGCTTCAGTTATACCTGAAATGAGATTTCTCATTTGAAACAAACTGTTGGAGGGGAATACTTCTAATTATCACTCTTTTTCCTGGGGTTCAAAAATATGGTATCTTCATGTTATTAATTTTAATTCTGTTAATAAATGTCTAACTAATCTTCTATTTGGTAGGATTTACTAGAGCCTTATTTTGGGTTCTAAATACAGGATCATTAGCTGTGTCATTTATCTCTTTCCCTCAAGCTTAACTGGTAGGAATTTATTCCCAGTGAGGGACTCAACTGCTCTTATTTTCACCCAATAATAGAATTTCACCAAGTACATACTGGTTGAATATTAGTGGAAGTGTTAAACCTTTCAGTTTTCCACCAATAAAATAGCTACCTTTTTTTAAACATGAAACCTAACAATCATATTATTTTGATAATGCTTAAAAGGTATTTGGACTTAATAATCATTATTAAAAATCTTCCCACTGCAAAGCAGTTAAAAATGTCAGATAACCCTGTCTGGTGTGGCTCAGTGGGTTGAGCACCAGCTTGGGAATTGAAAGGACACCAGTATAATTCCCAGGCAGGGCACATGCCTGGGTTTCAGGGCAAGTCCCCAGTTGGGAGTGTGTGAGAGGCAACCAATTGATGTTTTTCTCACACATCTTTCTCTCCCTCCCTTCCCCTCTCTGTAAAAATAAAGAAAGATACAATATGTCAGATAAAATAAAATCTTTGGCCTTTGACTTGGGGTGGAATACAGGAGAAAAAAGAAAGCCAGTTCTGCTTTTGAGGATTATAAACATAAGTTGGTCTTCATATTGGTTCAGGATTGAATTCAAGTCACCCACATGATTCCCTAGCCCCCAAGTTGAGATCTTGTTTTAAGTTTTTCTGGGCTGGTAGTGCCCTGGGGCCACTTGCAAAAATAAATGTAAAATTTCTTTTGTTTTATTTTGTTTATTTCCTTATTTTAATTATATTTTATTGATTAACCTATTACAATTGTCCCAATTTTTCCCCTTTTGCCCCCCTCTATCCTGTACCCCCGCTCCCTCAGGCAGTTCCCACACCATTGTTCATGTCCATGAGTCATGCATACAAATTCTTTGGCTACTCCATTTTTTATGCCATACTTTACATCCTCATGGATATTTTGTAACTACTTATTTGTACTTCTTAATCCTTTCACCTCTTCACCCATTCTTCATACCCCCATCCCATCTGGCAACCATCAAAATGCTCTCTGTATTCAAGATTTTGTCTTTGTTGTTCTTGTTTGCTTAGTTTGTTTTTTAGATTCAGTTGTTGATAGATATGTATTTATTGCCCTTTGACTGTCCATAGTTTTGATCTTCTTTTTCTTAAATAAGTCCCTTAAACCTTTCATATAATAATGGTTTGGTGATGAAGAACTCCTTTAGTTTTTTCTTGTCTGAAAAGCTCTTTATCTGCCCTTCAATTCTAAATGATAACTTTGCTGGGTAGGGCAGTCTTGGCTGTGGGTCTCTGCTTTTCCTGACTTTTAGTTATTTCTTGCCAGTCCCTTCTAGCCTGCAAAGTGTCCTTTGAGAAATCAGCTGACAGTCTTACAGAAACTCTCCTGTAGGTAACTAACTGCTTTTCTTTTATTGCACTTAAGATTCTCTTGTTATCTTTAACCTTTGGCATTTTAATTATGTTGTGTCTTGGAGTGGGTTTCTGCATCCATCTTGTTTGGGACTGTCTGTGCTTCCTGGACTTGCATGTCTATTTCCTTCACCAAATTAGGGAGTTTTCTTTCATTATTTTTTCAAATATATTTCCAATTTCTTGCTCTTTCTCTTCCCCTTCTGGCACCCCTGTGATGTGAATGTTTGGCTTCTTGAAGTTGTCCCCGAAGCTGCTTACACTATCTTCAGTGTTTTGTTTTGTTTTTTAAGATTTTGTTTATTTATTTTTAGAGAAAGGGGAAGGGAAGGAGAAAGAGAGGGAGAGAAACAGCAGTCTGTGGTTGCAGGGACCTGGCCTGCAACCCAGGCATGTGCCCTGACTGGGAATTGAACTAGCAACCCTGTGCTTCGCAGTCCAGTGTTCAATCCACTGAGCCACACCAGCCAGGAGGTTGTTGTTGTTGTTGTTTTAATTTTCTTTTCTTATTGTTGTCCTGATTGGTTGCATTTTGCTTCCTTATGTTCTAAATCATTGATTTGTGTCTTAGCTTCATTCACTCTACTGTTGTTTGTAAATTGTTGTTCGTTTCAGTTAGCATATTCTTCATTTCTGGTTGGATCTTTTTTTTTCTTTTTTCTTTTTTCTTTTTTTTTGTTTTTTTTGGTTACTGCCTCAATTTCATTGCTAAGAATTGGTCTATACAGATCCTCTGTTTCTTTCTATTTGTGCCTTGGGGAGCTTTATGATTTTGAAAATCCATTTTATCTACATTGTCAAATTTGTTGGTATATATTTGTTTATAGAAGTCTAATGATTTTTTTAAATCTGTGGTATCAGTTGATATCTTTTCATTTTTGATTTTGGTTATTTTTGTTGTCTTTTTCCTGTTTGATGAATCTTACTGTACATTTTTCAATGAATTAGCTTTTATTTTTATTAGTCTTTTCTCTTGTATTTTTATTTCATTTATTTGTGCCCTGATTTTTGTTATAATTTTTTTTTTACTTATTTTATAGTTTCTCTGTCTCTCTCGTTCTCTCTCTCTCTCTCTCATTTCTTCGTGTGTAAATTTAAATCAGTTTTTGCAAGTGTTTCCTGCTCTTTTGGTAGCCCTGCATAGCCATAGTGTTTTCTCTTCTAACTGCTTTTGCTTCATACTAGATTTTGTTAGGTTGTTTTTCAATTTTTGAGTGTCTCAAGGTAGATTTGCTTTTCCATTTATTTTTCTTCTTTCAGCTATTGTTGTTTAGAAGCATGTTGTTTAATCTTCACACATGTGTTTTTTTTCTATTATTCTTTATACTTAATTTTAATTATATTTAACATTGTGGTCAGATAATAGGGTAGATATACTTTAAATTTCTTGACTTTTGAGGCTTTGATTGGATCTTTTTGTATGCTGTTGAGGTCCTCACTAAGTTCCTTGAACATCCTTATTACCAGTGTTTTGTTTGAACTCTGCATGTGATAGATTCTTATCTCCATTTTGTTTAGTTCTTTTTCTGGAGTTTTGACCCATTTCTTCATTTGGGCCATGTTTCTTTGTCTCCTGATTTTGACAGCCTTGCTGCATATGATTCTATGTATTAGGTAGAGCTGCTCTGACTCCCTGTCTTGGTAGAGTGGCCTAATATACTAGGTGTCCTATAGGGTCCAGTAGCACAGCCTTTCTTATCACCCAAGCTGGGTACTTGATGTGCTCCCTTTGTGTGGGCTGAGGACACCCTCCTTTTGTAGTTGAGCCTTGGTTGCTGTTGGCAGATCAGTGGGATGGATTTACCCAGGCCAGTCAGCTACAAGTACTGGCTGTGTCCACTGACCACCAACCCCTGCCCTCCTGATCCTGATGGAGGATCATCTATACAGGGGCAGAGTGGTAGTGCTCTGATGTGGTCTGTAGCTGTCCATTGGGTGCGCAGGCTCAGGGGTTTCCCAGGTTGTGCAGGCCAAGGTTGGCCCCTACCTGTGTTCTGGCCAGGGCCACCCTATATGAGCTATAAAGCAATCTGAGATGATTGCTGTTTCAGCTGGGCTTGGAGATTCCCAGGTGAAGCCAAGCTATGAATCTAGGCTGGCTGCTGCAAGTGCCAGGCCTGGGGCCACTTACCAAGAGGTACAGGGGTTGGGGGTTCACAGAAGCTGGCTGCTGTTGTTTATTTGAGAGGAGTTAGGAAGTTATGAAGCATGAACCATTAACAGCTTGGATAGGCCCATAAGTTGGGTGGGAAGGAGTTTCAGGGGATCTCCAGGGCAGGACTAACAGTGTTCGCCCTGTTGGAGTCTCAGATATGGCACCAGCTCGCTGACTCCGTGGCTCTATGGAGGAGGGTTCAAAAAAGGGACAATGACCTCTGTCTGTTTTTCTGTCTGGAATAAAGCTGCCCCCCAGCTCTTGCCTTAATGCCAGACACTTCAGTTTCTCCCTGTATGCCACTGGTGGCTTTCAAGCTGCTACCCCATTGCTGGAACTTGGAGGGAGTGAATCTGAGTAGGTCTTTGTGTGGGTTCTTTAAGAGATACTGCTTGAGACTCCAGAAGTTTGTTCCAACAACTCAATCCCCACTGGTTTTTGCAGCCAGAAGTTATGGGGACTTATCTTCCTGGCACTGGAACCATGTGCTGGGGTCCTGATGTGGGGCCGAGGCTCCTCGCTCCTGATACCTCTCCCAAATTTTTATCCACCACACATGGGTGTGGAACCAGCCTGTTCCACATCTCCGCCCCTCCTACCAGTCTGGATGGATGTGGATTCTTTAATTCTGTGCTTGTCAGACTTTCATTAAGCTCAATTTCTGATGTTTCTGAGTGATGGCTCTTCTATAATTTATTTGTAATTTCAGTGTGGTTGTGCAAGGAGGCATGTTTACCTATGCTGCCATCTTGATTGGACGTCCTCCTAAAATGTCTTTAGAGGAGAGAATTCTTAACCCAAGTGTCAAAGAATTACCACAGGTTAACTTTTAGAGAACAAGAAATTATAATAAAAATAAATCACTGAGCACAAAAGGGAACAAGACATTATGACTGAGAGCCAGCACATGTAACAATAGAAAGCTGACTTACAAAACTTCATTTATTAAAAATTATTAAAATAAGAATGTAAAATTAGTATATTTGATACTTTTAAAGAAATAAAAGGAAATGAAAAACATGAATCAGCAACAAGAGACTAATCAATCAAAAGAGTGCAAAGGAACATACAAAATGGAAAAAATACTATAATTGCAAACCGTATATCTGATAAGAGCTTCACTTCTAAAATATG